TGTGCTTATTGCTGATTAATATAAATTTTAACCTTACTTAATTCTCATTTTGCCCAATTTTTGAGTAAAAAATTCATATTTTGACTCAAAATTTGTGTAAAATAATAACGAACTAAAATTTTTATAACGAATTAAAATAACAATTTTATTAAATATTAAGAGCTTTAATTCATATTAAAATATGTTATTGTTTTATTGTTAATAATAAAGGTATTTACTATATTTTTTACATTATAAAATATTAATAACTTTGTATATTGTATTCATTAAAATTATTAAATGAATTTTGTTTTGGTGTTTTTTAGTTTTAATTTAAAACATTATAAAAATATATAAATATTTATTCAAAAAGTATGTCTTATTTATGATTAATACAATTAAATATTTAAATAATTAATCAAATTTCTTTAAATGGCTTAAATTACTGAATCATATATTTAATTTTTAAATTGAATGCGGAATAAGGATGATAATTTAAAAAATTTGCTGATAGTTGCATTTTTGATACAGTAACTGATCTTTGTACTAATCTCTTCCAGAAGTTCTCATGACATGGAGAAAAAGCAAACAGCTGCAAAGCGCAGCTGCAATGAGAAATTGCAAGAGGAATATTGACTTTATATACTTTAGAATGTTTTAACTTGTTAATCAATGTAAATTGTCATATTTTAAAAGTTATGCTTTGCAAACATAGCAAAGCCTAAATATTTCAGAAGTGAGCAATTATAAAGTACAACATGGCTTCTGTAAATCAGCAATTGCAAGAGGAATATTGACGCTATAAACTTTTTCAAAATTGCTAATATCATTCAGATTATAGTCTATAAATTATATTTTTTTACTTAAAAAAATACGAAAATAACATAAATTCTTTATAAATTACAACCATTCTTCATATGCTTCCTGACAGATAGATGTTATCTTATTGAAGATTCCTAAGGTCATGAAGAATCAAGTTTCTCAACGTGCTGATGAAATTCGATTAACAAAGCTGATGATGATTGTTTTCTTTTCCTTTTTGATCTGTTTCCTCCCTTTGATGATCGTTAACGTGTTCGACAGCAAATTCAGGTAATATTTATAATAAAATTTTAAACTTTAAAACATAATGTCCACTACTAAATTGCTCAAAAGTCGTTAATTTTTAATACAGGATTCCGGTAATTCACGTGTTAGCCTCCATCTTGGCTTGGATGAGTTCTTGCATTAACCCCATCATTTATGCCGTTCTAAATCGCCAATATCGTCAAGCGTACATTCGTTTATTCTGCCCTCGTGAAAGAAGTACGTCTACAGTTTCGAGATCGGGGAGTGGTTCAGCGTATTCTAAGACTTTAGTATCTGACGTCTTCATTTATCATCCAGCATCAAACAAAATGGAGAAGAAGCAGGCAGAGGACAAGATCTAAGCTTTTTTACATTGTATTAAATTCGTGACTTTCAGTTAATTATAAAGTTCTAAATTACAATGGAAGAAAGACGACGCGAGATGAGGTCATTTAAAATTGAGATCCTCGTGTTAAATGCATCTGTGCTTGAAGTAGAAAGAGATGGAGACGACTGTGTTGTTTGGCAACATAGGGTATATGATAAATAGGGCAATCATCTCACGTTTCGAGTAGATGATAAAGGTTTTACCTCAAGGCATTAGATACAAAAGACTAAGATTGATACTGTTTGCATGAAACACGAGTCGATAGAAGTTAAAATTGATTTTTCAATACAGGGGATGAGTTTTCAAACGGTGTGAGCTTATAAATATTTATATCGTTTAACATAAAAAAACAGCTGCAATAAATTGGATAGATATCAATTACGAATTTATTAAAATATTATAAAGTATTTCCTCAGATATCAAATTCGATCAGAAATAATTTGTCTAGAATGTTTCCGGTGGGTTTCAAATTTGTTCAACAATTCTGCTACGGCTGATACGTTATCTCTATTGGAATTTTGTTGAAGTGATCTTAAATTCCTTTCTCTACAACCAATCTTGAAGACTTCAAAAATTTTAAGAATTTGCAGTTTATTTATCATCATTAAAACAAAATTTAAACATTCGTGTATAAAAATGGAGTGATTTTTGTGTGTTAAAGTGTTCATTGAGAAGTTTTGTAAATGTATAAACTTGAAATTCGACTCGAAATTTGCAAATAATAATAATAAAATTAATAATAAATCTTAAAAGAAAGTTATTGACGGCCGTTATCTTAACGACGGCCGTTAGTAAACTGATTATTTCTTTTAAATTAACGGTTAAATACAGGAAATTAATTGATTCATTATTTATATAATGCTTACTTAAAGAAAGAAATCAGTTTAATGTGCTAAATATTATTCTAAATTACTCAAATTTTTAGAATAATATAAGAAAATTCCTAACAAATATGTGCTTATTGCTGATTAATATAAATTTTAACCTTACTTAATTCTCATTTTGCCCAATTTTTGAGTAAAAAATTCNTCATAAATTCAAAATATTATACATTAACAAAAATATTCGATATAAATTTTAATATTCTGTAGCTTCGAGGTGCAACTTACATGGAAATTCATAAAGCGGGAGGTGGAATTCAGTTCACAGTCGATGAAACACGCAAAGCATCAGACGAAATACTACTGGATCTGCTTAAACAGAGGATTTTTAGAATGATGCAAAATGGCACTACCCTCGTCGAAGTTAAATCTGGTTATGGCTTAGATTGCAAATCCGAAATGAGGTTGCTCAGGGTAATAGAGAGAGCGCGTGATGCCATTCCCATAGAATTATCTTCTACGTTCTGTGGTGCACACTCTATACCCAAGTAAGTTCATATGTTTTATACAAGTGAAGATAAACATATTTGTCGTATTGTTTCATGAAAATATCGAGAAATCGTACTTTTCGGTAGAAATCTCATTAAATTGTACAGGGTTAGCAACAAAGTCACCGTACGATACAATATAGGTTCTCTTTATATCTTATTTGAGAAATTTTAATCAATAACATTAAAAATTAAAAAAAACAAACAATTAAAAATCTCGGAATAAGAGGGTTAATATAACGAATGGAGATCTTTTAAAATTTGGACATTAAATAACTGTGCTGAAGGATTTATAACGACAGTCGGATCCTGATTTTTATCAACGTGATTTATCTCTTACTTGGACTTACGTGATGCGTGATAATTATACTAGAATATAAAAAAAGATTGTATTCAGAGTTGGAGTTTTTTAGAAATGATTTTTATAAAATTCCTAACAAGTATATTCTTTTATAATTTATTAAAATTGTTAAACTAGAAGAATTTTTAAAATAATGTAACAATATGAATCTATAGAACGTATACTAAAGGAAAGAAACTCTAAGATCGTTCCGGGTCTCAAACAGAATAGTTTTAATAGAAGGTAACGAGCACGAAGATAAAAATTGCATTCATTTTTATATTTTTATGAATAACAATAATGCAAGTCGAATTCTTCTGCCATTTTATATATTTTCTAAAAATATGCCATATGTTTATAGCAGTTATTATGACTTTTATGTCAATATAAATGCTGAAAATTGAGCTTTTATTGGTTATGAATTAACTATTATTATATTTTTATAAGACTTTCTAAAGACCAATTCATAATGCATTTTTTAAAAATAAACAGTAAATAAATTATGCTGCTGTTCAATGTCTCAAAATAATAATTCGAATTATTTTTATTTATGAAAAAATAATTAAGTAAATAACACGTTTCTCGGTGAATTAAAGCGTTAATTCAGCGGCTCCACTTCATCTTCAGGAGATATATCAGATGTACAATAAGCTATTTGATACTAGATAAAAGCAAAATTTAAAGAGAG